CACAACCGACACCAATGACTTTCAGGCCACAGAAGCCACATCTGTAATGAAGTGTAATGAACATGGCCCATTTGAATTCCATGTCTCCGATTTACCCCAGGATATGTGAAAAACTCTCCCGGACATGAGGCTCCACCAGATGTTTGCAGTTCACTCTCACTATGCGTTTGGTTTTACTAGGTCTGTCTGCCAGTCTCCTCCACCACTGGATCCAATGCACCACCAGGTGATTTTCAGTTGACAGCTCTGCACCTCTCTTCAACCAAGTGTACAAGTGTACTTGTACCAGAGGYGATTGCTCTAAGACTGCAAGGGAAGCTCAGCTTTCCCTAAAATGTCAAAAATATAAATGATCAAATATATACTGTTGTGTGCTCATGTCATTGACTAAATATGCGCTACAACACGCTCAGCTTTTGTTCAGAATCAGCTTCTTATCCTTGGTAATGCCGCAGCTTTCCTCTCACTAATTCCCGCAGCTTCACAGTGCTTTAAACAGCGTCCACAGAGTTCAATAGTGAAGCAAAGAGTGCAGCGAAATGAGACGATTCATTGGATAAATGCTGGACTTTGTCCCACCCATTGGATGCTCAGTGTCTCTGGGGGTCTAAGGGGCAGTGGGCTGGCCTCAACCAACCCGGACGCTCAGCTTCTGCCTGATGACTGGATGATCTATTGGAGGCTGAATCCCTTTTTGATTGAAAAATGAGCAAATCAGTGATCTTTTGGTGTTAACATTCCGTGGGAACATTTCTTTTACCTTCATTTCTGTTCTGAGTTGAACCGGAGACTTTATTAATCCTCTTAGTGGCATTTTCTTTGTTAAAAGCAACTAGTGACAAATTGAGCTTCTATTTTTTTTTTTTTTTTTTTTTTTTTTTTTTTTTTTTTTTTTTTTTGTAGCTGCTTGTGTTTGGAGACTGACTTCTATCATTCTTTCTGACTTCTATCGCAGTTTCTGTCCAGCGGGTGCTGCTGAGTCCCTCCACCCCTCATCCTTGAAACGGAACGGAGGATAGAATTTACGTATAAATAAACCAACACATTTTATGATGTAGGCAAAATTGAGCTTCCCCTCCTTGAAAGACCAGCATCTGCCACTGACTTGTACCAAGTACACTTATGGACTACCCTATGATTATATGTTGTTTGTTATGCACAACCTGTGCTTAGCATACAGGTCCAACAACAGAACACCATTCAGGTTCAGATCAGGGAGGCAGTTCCTCTCAATCAATCCTTTCCAGATAACTCTGTCATTGCCCACATGGGCATTGAAGTCACCCAGTAAAACAAGGGAGTCCTCAGATGTACCCCTTTCAGGACACCATTCAAAGACTCCAAAAAGGTTCCCTCCTGCAGCATGAAGCCGTAGAGAGGCAACCCTCTCATTCGACGGGTTGAACTCCAACACCAAAGCATATAGTGGGGGGCTTGTGAGTATCCCACCTGAAACTTCTGTCCCTGGTCAACTCCAAAGTAAGAAAGAGACCATCTCCTCTCCAGGAGTTGGGTTCCAAAGCCCAAGATGTGAGTTGAGGTGAGCCCAACAATATGAGTAGCTGATAACACTCAACCTCATACACAAGCTCCGGTTCCTTACCTGCCAGTGAGGTTATGTTCCACGTCTTAGGAGCTAGTCTATGCCACCAGGAATTGGCATGGCTATAGATCCACCCTTGCCTGCAATCTGGCATACRCCCAAACTTGATAGTCCTCCCCACATGTGAAGGGTTCAGGTGGAGATGGCCTCCTGTTGACCTTTTGGGATTGGCCTGGCCAAGCCACAGAAGCCAAGGCTCGACCACCAGGCGGCTTGACCACTAGGCGCTCACCGGCAAGCCCCTTTCCCAGGCCTGGCTCCAGGGGGTTGCCCTGGTTTCCCTTGTCTGGGTAGTGTTGGAAAAATATGCGTTGTTCAAAATGTTATGTCCGAATAAAACAGGAATCCGCTGGATTTCTTCTTTAAAACCTTATTTTTAATCTTCTGACTCCAATCAGGTTCACAGAACAGCACTCAGCACACAGGTCTCAGTCAGACCTTGGGCTCAATCAAAACAAACACGGGAGCTCTGCTCTGAGCAGACACTCTGCAAAACACTGACAACTTCTCACCATTATAATAATGAATAGAGCTTATAATGTATCTTTCTTCCTGGTTACACTCTTGGAGGTGTTACTTTTTACGTCAGACGTCAGAACGTACTCATTTTGTTTAGGCTAAAGAAAGAACACATGATAACACACACACCAACTCTTATTCTGTTATGGCCTTAAAGCTGAAATGATCAGAAAGCATAAAATACAAAACTGAATCTAATATTCAATTAATCARTTACAAAATTTCTTCAGTAGGGTTTCCTGATGTGGTTGATGTTTCATGTCATCAAGGAGTTTTGAATCGCTCTTAGTTTGACCCTACTGCCTGTTTGAYGTGGGAGACCCTACCAGGGGTTAACGGCCCAGACAACATAGCTCCCAGGATCACAGGGGTACTTGAACCCTTCCACCACATTAAGAAGGCGATTCTGCAGAGAGTCTTAAATAATTAAAATAATGAATGAAATCATCATTCAAATTCCTTTCTTCTGCTTCTTCTAAGGTTACCTGAAAATCTGCTCACTGGAAAATTACACCTCTAAAAATAGATGAAAAATATATTTGAACAGTAGTACAGAACATAGAAACAAATGTTTAATCAGAATGAGGTAATGGTAGAAAAGTGATCAATAAAAAGGCATCAAGTTAGCCAGGTTGATGGTGCTTTAGTGTGCTTGTGTGTGTGTTTCTCATGAAGATATTATTTTGTTTATCATGGCATTAAGCGATTTATAATTCATTCATATAGTTTCTGAATACTTTATTTATATATAAATACATATATTTATTKTAAAATCAAACATGAGCCAAATAGATCTCCAGAATATCCCTTCGGTAATCTTCAACTAAATGTCCTTTCTTAGGACCTGGCACCACAAATGTGGACAAAAATGCTTGCAATGCAAGAGTTTTGGGTATTAGGAGGTTAAATTAAAAGAAACTATTTTCAAACAAATCAAAAACATTTTACAATTTAGAAGGGATTTTTGAGATAAGTGAAAATGGGGCATAAAGTAAACATATAATAAATTCAACTCCAGGCTTGAGGTCATAGGTCTGAAGTTTTCATTGATAGAACCGGACTAAAGCTAAAATCATTGCAAGGGGAAACTGATGTCCCAAAAACATTCATCAGTAATTGCTTCATGTTATCTCTTTTTAAACAGCAGAAGCCCTGTGAGTATTTATTTAATGTTATTCACTCCATCTCTGCCTTCTACTCAGCTTAGCAGCTTGACCCAGTTCTGACGGCAGAGAAGGTGGGAATCATTAGTACGTGACACCAACCCATTATCTTGTTGCTGTTACATTTACAGAAGACCTGCAAGACATCTAACATTTAGAACCTGTTGTTACCCGTTGTTGCAATATTGTGGCACATCATCTTCTCTTGATGCAATATCTCTATTTCATGTTGCCGAAGGTGCAGATAAAAAAAAAAGATTTTACGGTCTATTAATGCCTACTGACATTTGGAGGAAGACACATGGCATTTCCCAGGCAGATCTTGTGCTGCAAGGTCTGTATGTCATGAGGGAAGTGTTCATGTGGCAGACATTGTGTTATCCTTGCTTGAGAAAATGCTATGCTTTTAAGAGCAGCAAAGGTGTGAATAACTGTGGTTTGGTTGTCCTAAGAGTTACTTAATAAGTAATTATTGTGRTGAAATTTTAGCAAATGCTTGAGGGCTGTTATGCATAAATGCATGCATGGTTATAAACAGGAGCACCTGAATCTGGTTGGTGATTATACAGGTAAATGTCAGAGTAGTGGTGCCTTGAGTGCTTCCTTTGACCTGATTTCTTGTGACGAGAAATACTTGAGTATTCATTTCACACACACAAACACACACACACACACACACACACACACACACACACACA